GAGAAAAAAAAAAAGTCATCATCCACAGGGACGGAACTACTTTAGAGCACCCACAATTGTGATTTTTGAAAAATATTTTGCAGGTGAAAAAACTAGGCTGCTGGTTTTTGGTTGAAGGAGACCATGATTTTTACTCAAAATTTTCTCCTACAAAGACTTGATTTTTGTAGGAAAAGAAAAAAAAAAAAAAAAACGGTTGGAGCGCATAGCACACTCTGATTCTTTTTGTTTTCATTTTTTAAAAATCTTTTTGGTCGCTAGAAACGGCCAATCATTTTATTTATCTATTTATTATAAAATTATTTTTATTTAATTTTGTTGTTATATTTTTTTTAGTTTATATAATATAAATGTAGTAAATAATTTTAATTTGAATATTATATTTATTAGTAGTTTAATTTTAAATTTATAGTTATCATTTCAATTAAATGTAGATATGTTAAAACATTTATAATTATATATTTATTTAAATTTGATATGTTTAATTTAAATATAATAAAAATAATAATTGTAATTAGAATTTTTATAATGATAATAAATAAAGAAATAATTAAAATATAGTGGAGTAAAATGGTGGGTCCATAAAAAATTAAGAAAAATCTAAGTGAGATAGTAGATGATGAGGTGTATGCTGGGACTTACAAAAAAAAAAAAAAAAAAAAAAAAAATTGAAGAAAAAACCAAACTATTGAGGTTACTCTTAGCCCTTAGGGGTAAGGGGCCTGGCCCCCCAAACCTCTACCCTCACCATCTCACTGTAGCTACCGCGAGTATTTATAGCCGCTAGGTCGGAGACACATCTCCGGCCGGCCGACATGTAACCCACGTAGCCTCCACGCGTCTTCACCCGGCGAGCCCTCTCTGTCAACGTGTAACACTGCCACGTGCCTCTTCTCAAGATCCTTGACTCCTCGTAAGATAAGGCCCACCGAATGGGTGATTAAACCCCGGTCGGAAAGTCCGCCGGTCGGGTCCGACCGTCATTCCTTATGTCCGACCTGTAAAACCTGCACAAAGAACGAGAGAAGCCGAGTTGTGCCGGTCGGGATATATCCTACCAAGAGCCCCCAGCCCGGGCCTTTTTTACCGCTCGGGAAAAAATGGGACGGGATGAAAAGGTCTAATCACTCGGCCTTTAATCCCGACTGGACAGCTTTCGCTTGTCGTGCCACGTGTCGGCCCCTGCGCGTCTTGAAGTCTGCAACGGTCAAATCGCGCAAGTGGGCCATTTTCCCGCCCAAATTTTTCCTATAAATAGGCCCTTCTGAGGTTCATTTAAACTTTTACCACCCTGCGAGAATCAACCGGAGCTTCCCGAGCGAGCAATACTGTGCATCGATCGAGCAACGGCTTCCAACCTTTTCAACAAACATCACTCAATCGGTAAGTTTCTCGTTTCCCTACTCTTCCTTTTCTTCTTTTATCTTACTGCACAACGGCCGACTTCGGCGCCCCACTAACCCGGACCGAATAATAACCGACCCCCTCCGCTGAAACCCGACCATCTCCTTTATGAAGGGGATATGTCAGACACCGACAGCCAAAACGTTTCGGGAGCGGATTATGATGACGCGGTCGAGCAGCTTAGCGAGGAGACGATGATAGAAGCGTCCTCGCCTGAAGTCATCGAGGTCGTTCAACTACCGAGCAAGGTTCCTGAGCGACAAAGCTCTTCTAGCTCGGAGAGCTCATTGAGGTCGAGCGGCTCGAGTAGTGGCAGCGGCAGCGATAGCAGCGCCTCAACGAGCGGCCGCAAATCTCCAACCGAAGAGGTTCGAGAAACGCCCACGAGGACTATTGCGTCCGACCACGGGGCTTCCGTTTCTGCACATGACCGGGAAGCCACACCTGACCCGATCGACGAAGAACTGACTGCAGCACTCGCCGCGCCGGAGTTCATCTTCCTCAACAGCGAAAGTGTCGAGCAGCAAGAATGCCTGCTGACGACCGGCGAAGCGGGGAAGATTGCCGCAAGGCTAAACGGTCGGGTGCAATTCGATCCCCGACGGTGCTTAGGGAACATAAAGGAACGCCACCAAGGGAAGTGGATCGGGATGCACTTCGATTCGCTGCAAGCCTCGATCACTTTCCCTTTCTCCCCCCTTTTGACTGCATTCTTGGGCTATTACCGGGTACTACCTGCCCAAATATGCCCGAACGCACATCGCATCTTGGGGTGCTTTTCGAAAATTTGCGCTCGGCACGACGTTGCGTGCTCGATGGAGCTCTTCAACTTCATCTACCAGGTTAAGCCCTTGGCGGCTAAGTACGGGGGCGGCTTCCTAATGATTCAGTCCCGGGCCGATCTGTGCTCAATCGATAATCTGCCCGGGAACAACCGAGGTTGGAAGAATCGGATCTTTTCGGTCAAGTATGACTCATGGATTCTCCTGGTCGACCGTACGTGGGGGACGCACTATAGGAAGTAAGTGCAGCCGGACGAGACCCGAGCCCTCCGTGAAGCAACCTTCCGGATCTCTAGTGAAATCTACGAGTACAAGGTTTTCCGGATGAGGGAGACATACGACGCCGCCCGACTGCCGCCACCTCGATACGACCTGGACCGGAAGTACAAACCCCGACCAACGGGCGTATCGGTTGCCGTAGCGGCTCCTCAGGCCGAGTCGGTCAATGAAGGTCTAACGCTAACCTAGCTTTCCCGACCGTAAATCTCCCGATCGTAATTTGATTTGCTTTTTTAACCATGCGATTTTTGTTTACAGAGATGGGTCCGCCACTCAACTTTTAGACGGCCAGCGCACCCCGAGCCCCCCGAGCCAAGATAGTGCTCGGGAAGAAGAAAATTGATGCCGGGTCATCCAGCGATAAGGAGACCGAAGGTGGCTCCATCCCGAACGCTCGTCCGCTGGGGGCTTTGACGATTACCACGGCCGAAGGGGCCGTGGTCGTGGAGACAGCGACCGATGCATTGGCTCCCCGAGCCGTCGGTCGTAAGTGGAAAGAAAAGATGGCCGTGAAAGACACGGATGAAGGGGGCGCACTCAAGTGTCGACGAAAATAGAACAGCCCCCCGAGCGGGGCTGTCACAGGCGATGAGATTATCCTCACCCGGATCGGTAATCTCCGGCCGATCAAGGAGGATATCAGCAAGCTAACGCCCGGGCAGGTGGCCGAGAAAAGCGGCCAAGACTTGGTCGAGGTATGATTTCGTTACTTCTTTAGTTTCAGCAAACTATAGTCGCTCGAGCTAATGTGTTTTCTTTTGCAGCTGTCCCAAGCGATCCAATATCTCCAGCGCCGAGCGCTGTTGGCCAGTGAGGCCGACGCTCTGAGGAAGATCACCGAGCGGCGAAGAGAAGAGAATGCGGAGCTTCGTGACAAGCTGAAGTCATCCGAGGATGCTCTAGCTATTGCCGAGAAAGCCGCTCGGGAAGCATTGGTGGAGGCGGCCGAGCTCAAATCCCGACTGGGCAACCTCTCAGGCCTGGCAAAGTTCCTTTGTCGGGATGAGGCCTCGGCCGAGAAGTTCTTCAAGGAGTTAATGAAGAACAAGCTCGGGGAGGATATGATCTGGACCTTTGGGCACTAGGCCTTCAAGTCCGGTCAACGGGCCATGCGGGAGGAGGCCCGATCGATTATAGAGGAGGTCTTCGAAGGTGATAACCTAAAGTCCGTGCTGTCCACCCTTCCCGACGAAGTGCCTGATCCCGGCCCGGCCCCCTTCACCAAGCCATCAGAAGCTACGGCTGAGCCCAGCGCCGGTGAGAAGAACATAGAAAAGGTCGTGTAGTTGCCGACCATGTAATAATTTTTGAATTGTTGTGAACTGCACCCCATCGGGAACCCGGTCCCGTTTGTACCGCGCAACTTTTATCGTTTAAATAAATTAACTTTTTGTCAACTTTTGCGTTCATCACGTTTTACACGCATTTTAAATTTGGTCATTTTTGTTCGAACTTTTGCAACTTCGGTCGATCGTACCTGTTGGACTGGTTGGCCAAGGTTGGCCTCTTGGCATGAGGACCTGTTGGCTAACCTAGCCTTTTAGGTTGGCCTTTTGGCATGAGGACCTGTTGGCCCGGTTGGCCAAGGTTGGCCCTTCCTTCACCCTAGCCCCCACACTGCCGTGCCCACGAGGCACGAGTGAGTGCGACAGTGGCAAGTGAAGCTAATCGGGTGCAAAATGTCTGGAGCTTTGTTATCCCCGATCAATGGCGTGACCCGAATGTCCGCCGAAGATGAGCGTTGTAAACCGGGCGGTGTTAGTTGTCCGACTGAAATACAAATGACTTTTAAGCCCATAAGGTGTATACCCCTATCGGTCGGGACCGAGCGAGAGGTGTATACCTTGATCAGTTATAACTGAGATTAGACCCCTGTATAATCGGGCAAGTTTAAGCGACATTGTGGTAGTAGGGCTATTCGCCCCTGCCGATTGTTGATGCTGAGTCTCGGTTGGGCGAAGCTCGATCAAAACCAACTTTCGAAGTAGATTTAACCAAACTACTTAATATTTACATAACTCGCGAGCCGATCGGGCTGCCGTGTGCAAACGGTCGAGCTCACTCGCAGGTTGAGCCCCCACTCCATCTGTCTAAATAAGACTAGATTTTCTGAGTTCCATGTCCCTTCTATCACTCTCCCGGTCGTTGTCTCCAATCGGTAAGTGCCTGGATGAACTACGGCTGTGATTACATAAGGGCCTTCCCAATTTTGGGCCAGCTTGCCTCCTTCTAACGGCTGGCTCGCTTCTCGACGTCATAGCACATAATCTCCGACTTGAAAATATCGTGGGTGAACCCGGACGTCTTTCGTGCTCTTGACCCTCTTCTGGTACTCGGCCATGCGCCGAGCCGCAATTTCCCTCTTCTCTTCAACGCCGTCTAGATCCACGGCCATAGAGTGTTCATTCTTTTCCGCATTATAGGATCGCTCTCTGGCGGTCAGGATCCATGCTTCGATCGGTAACCGTGCTTCAGCGCCATAAACTAAAGCGAATGACTTTTCCAACGTTGTTCTCTAGGGGTCGTGCGATATGTCTAAAGCACGTATGGGAGCTCGTCAGCCCAGCTACGACTGGCTGAGTGCAACTTTTTCTTCAAACCCTCCAAGATTGTTCGGTTGGCATTCTCTACTTGACCATTACCTTGCAGGTAAGCCATCGACGATCGGATTGAGGTTGTCCCGATCGTTGCCAAGAAATTTTGAAAGTACTGGCTTACAAATTGCCGACCGTTGTCACTGATAAGATGAACTGGCACGCCGAACTGGGAAATAACATTCCGCCATAAAAATCTGGCGCACTGTTGAGAAGTGACCGTGGCTAAAGGCTCGGCCTCGATCCACTTGGAGAAATAGTCAATGGCCACAATGACAAAGCGCCTTCGACCGGATAACTGCGGAAAGGGTCCCAAGATGTCTACCCCCCAACAAGCAAAAGGAATCGCGGTCGTGACCGGCTGGTAAAACGTGGCCGGACGACCAGGCATCCGGGCATATAGTTGACACGTCTCACACCCTCTGGCAAGCTTTTCACAGTCCAACTGAATAGAGCGCCAATAGTACCCGATCACCATGATGCGTCGGGCAAGTGATCGGCCCCCCTGGTGCGACGAGCAGATTCCCGAATGCAATTCTTTTATTACTAGGTCTGCTTCGAAGGAAGTCAAACACCGCATCAACGGACCTCCATACGACCACCTATATAAACGGTCATCTTGGACTTGAAATCTCGGTGCTCTTAACTTCGCCTTTCGGGCACGTAGAGGATCATCCGGTAAACGACCATGTTGAAGATACTCCATTAGATCAGAAATCCAAGTTTCTTCGGCCGGTTGGATAGGCGCGACCGGCAAGCGGTGAATACTGTGTCTCGGAATCATCAAAATCCGAGCGATCTTCGATATGTGTTCAGGGGCATCCTGTGCCAACTTGGATAAGATGTCTGCATCGGCATTATCTAGTCGGGGAACATGAGGGACGGTGGACGCCCGGAACAAGCTGAGCTTCTCCATGGCCAGATCCCGATAAGCTTGTAGTCGTTCTCCGTTGACCTCATAATCGCCCAAGACTTTCCCGACCACCAATGCTGAGTCAGTTTGCGCCCAGATGTATTCAGCCCCCAATTCCCAAGCGCATTGCAAGTCATTGACAAACGCTTCATATTCGGCTTCATTATTGGTCGGGTTGAATTGATACATCAGGGCATAGTACACTTTGAAGCCCTCCGGGCTCGTTATCACGACTCCTCCGCCTGCTCCTTTCTTACTACTCGACCCATCGGTAGCCAACGACCACCATGCCGCCTCGGGATCTTCCACCTCCGGAGGTCGTGTCTCCCGAGCGGTGCACTCGACCAAAAAATCGGCTAAAGCTTGGCCCTTGATGGCTGGTCTCGGTCGGTATTCAATGGCATACTGCGTTAACATCAACGCCCATTTGACCAGACGTCTGGAAGAAGAAGCGGTACGGAGAACTGCCCTGATTGGCTGATCGGTTAACACGTGAATGGCTCGACCTTGAAAATAGCGGGCCAACTTCTTCGCTGCTGTATACAAGGCGTAGACTATCTTTTCCAGCCGGGAGTAACAGAGCTCGGGACCATGGAGCGCGTGGCTCACATAGTAAACCGGTCGATGCACCCCCTCCGAATCTGTTCGGCATACCACTGCACTGACAGCTCGATCGGAAACGGCTAAATAGACGTCTAGCTCTTCCCCGAGCTCGGGCTTTGACAAGACGATCGGTGACATCAGATACTCTTTCAGCTCATCAAAAGCCGCTCGGAATTCATCATCCCATACGAACCCATTGACCTTTCGCAATACCTTAAAGAACGGTAAAGCGCGCTCGGCCAATTTTGAAAGAAATCGGCTCAGGGCTGCCAATCTCCCGGTCAGTTGTTGCACCTCCCGAACGGTCGTGGGCGGGTGCATGTCAAGAATTGCTTTGACCTTGGCGGGTTTGGGCTCGATTCCTCTTTTCGTCATCATGTAGCCAATGAATTTTCCCGTTTGCACAGCAAATGTGCACTTGTTGGGATTCAAACGTAGCTAGTATTTCCGCATGATTTGAAAGCACTATCGGAGATCCCGAGTATGATCTGCTAGGTCCCAACTCTTCACCAGCATATCTACTATACTAATAAGAGCCTAAGAGAGTTAGGCCTATAATAGGTAGAAAAAATGGCGGTCAAGTTTTTTAATCAAATGAATGGCTCAGATTGATCAGATTTTAATTTTTTCTTAAGATTTACTAATTTATCCTTAATGAATATGATTATCCGTTAACTTTTCCGTTAAATATTATCTTTTCCGTTAATTTCTGTTAGTTCACCGTTAACTTATTCATTGATTTCAATAAGAAAGGTCTTAAGTTCGAAGTTCGAACCCCATCCCAATCAAAGTTGGCATATTTAGTACTCTATTTTATTTTTATTAAATTAAATAATAATAATTTAGTAGTTACAACAAAATATAATACATATGCATTTCGATCTTTAATTTAGAATTATGTATCTACAATGTTTTTGCTCAAAATAATTATTCATTATCAATTAAAATACCAGGACTATGTGGTCCAATGGTACCCGGGTTGGACTTTATTTGGAAAGGTTGTGAGTTCAAGCCTCAGTGGAGGCGTTATTAGCTCTTTGTGTTTCAGTAGGTTGAGAAAGTATATGAACAGATATTCCAATGTAATAGAGCTAGTTGCATTCAAAAAAGAGAAATAATTTCATTAGTTATATTGTCATAATAATAATAATAATAATTGTTTTAAAAAATATATATATATAATTAAGCCAATCATATTAACTACTTGGGGGATTTATTTACAAAAAGAGTATTCAAATTACACAACAAATTGAAGTGGAAAACTACCTCGCAATGTCCTTGTTTGACAATCAACAATTAGCTCTTCAATATTAGTATATATTTAAAATTTTATGCCCTAATTTTTATTTGCTCTCCTTTATGTCTCGTATTTGGTTTCAACCATACCTATACAATTATTTTATTGACAATTATAATCAATCTTGACTATATTATCTTGCATTTGTAAACTTAGAATTACCTATTTAAATACGCAAATTCAACATTCAATTATTTATGCATTAACAATTCTAATATAATCCTACCTTGATATACTTTAAAGTACTTATTAAAAAAAAACATTGGGCATTATCTCAATCGCGCAATGCGCGTAAAAACTAGTCGTCGATATAAGCTTCCATCGTTCGGCCTAGCAGGTCCTCAAAGAGCATATTGATCATCCGCTGATAAGTCGCTCCTGCATTTCAGAGGCCAAACGGCATAACCCGGTAACAATACAACCCGTCAGGTGTGACAAAGGCTGTCTTACTCTCATCTTCATGGTTCATCATGATTTGATGATAACCTTTGAAAGCGTCCATGAAGCTCATCAGCTCAGCCCCGGCCATTTCGTCAACCATCTGATGGATGCTCGACAACGGGTAAGGATCTAGCGGGCATGCTTTGTTCAAGTCGGTGAAGTCAATGCACATCCTCTAGGACGGAGGCTTTGGAACGAGTACAATGTTGGCCACCCACTCGGGATAAGTGACAGGGCGGATGTGCCCAATTGCAGCCATTTTCTTCACCTCCTCTCGAACGAACTCTCGGCGATCGGAGGATAAATACCGAGTCTTCTGAACGACCGGTTTAGCCGCAGGATCTACAGCTAACTTGTGGCAGATTACAGTTCGATCAATCCCGGGCATATCTTCAGGCCCCCATGCAAATATATCAGCAAATTCCCGGAGGATCGCCAACACTTCCAGTCGTAGTTCAGGGGTGAGGGCCCGACCAATCTTTATCTTCCTCTCCGGTCGCTCCTCAGACAAAGGAACCTCCTCTATTTCCTCAGAGGGCTCGGGTTGTTCCTTCCGATCTTTGACGATAGTGTTCACTCGGGAAGAACCGGCATCACGCCGAATGACGGCCCGGGAATAACATTTTCTCACCGATTGCATGTCACCTCGTAAAACTCCGACATCGGCCGGGGTTGGGAACTTCATGCATAACTGAGGCATTGATATGATTTCGCCGATCCTCATAATGGCCGGTCGGCCCAAGATGACATTATGAGCACAATGAAGGTTGACCACCACAAATTCCAAATCTGTCTTTACTGATCTTGGTGGGGTTCCAAGCTCAACCGGAGCACGATTTTTCCCTCAGGGCGAATGGTAGCCCCGGTAAATCCCGACAAAGGCACGCCGACCGGAATCAGCTCTCACTTGTCCAACTTTAGCTTCTCAAACACGTCCAAATAAAGGACGTTCACACTGTTCCCGATGTCCACCATTACTCTTTGGACATCAGTTCCCATGATATCAATCGTGACAACAAGGGCTTCCATCCCATTGTCTCCGCTTTCCGGCTGGTCTTCAAGAGAGAAGGTAATTGGTTCCATCTTTTGCCTCTTACCAGTTTCCCGGGAGTCGACGATCGCGACCGGGCAACTTTCCCGAGCCTGGGAAGCATCTTCCAAACCTCCAAATATAACATGGATGGTCGGTTTAGATGTTGGTCGACCACTCGATGGGGGATCGGGATCTCTCCGGTCTTGATCCGATCGGTCAGAGCGATGATGAGACCGCCTATGATCTTTTCTCTCGCCCACTCTTTGTTCTCTTCTCTCTTGCCGACACATTTATCCAATTTTCCCAACTGAAGCAGGTCTTCCAACAGCTGTTTTAAGTGCGTGCACTCCTCCGTGTCATGCCCAGCACACTGATGATAAGCGCAATATTTGGACTTATCCTTCCCATCCGGTCCGGGTTGAGGTAGACGAATGAGGTTGCAGGACTGGGCATATTGCATGGCCTCCGCCGCAGATCGGTTTAACGCCGTGAACTCTCCCAGTCGGGTTCGGGGTCGGGGATGATCTTCAACCGACCGATCATCCGCCCGACCGGAAGGCTTTCGGGACGATATGCCGACCTCTTGTGACCCCTTGACGGCATTTGCCTCACCGGCATTGGCATAATCCGTCACTCTACGGAGGGCTTCTTCATAAGTGGCAGGCGGATGGAGTATAAAATCCTGGTACAGATAACCGGCCCGGAGGGAGATGTGCAACATGTGAATGGCCGTTAGGTCGTCCATAGGTTCAACCTCCCCGACCGCCGCCTTCCACTTGACTAAGAATTCGGTCAAGCTTTCCCCCTCCAACTGTTTAGCCTTCTCGAGGTACATGTAAGGCTTCCGGATAACCTTGGAGGTTACAAACTTCCGGTTGAACTTCATCGCCAAACTGGCGAAATCAGAGATAGAGCCCGGTTGCAGTGTCCTGAACCATTTCGCCGCTCGACCAGTGAGCGTGGAATAGAAAGCCCTGCACATCACGGCGTCAGATACGCCCATCATCAACATGTTGCCATAATATGTATTGACATGAACTTCTGGGTCTGTCCGCCCATCATATTCCTTATTCCTGGAGATGCGCAAATCGCGCGGGTAAGGCTGAGCCATGATCTCCGCCGTGAAGGGTGTCCTCAATAACGAGGCTGTATGATCGGTAGGAGGCCTTACAGCGTGCTCGTTCTGCCAGCGAGTGAATTCTGCCCGGAGTTCGTTCAGCATTTCTCGGGTTTCGTCTTGTGCGACCGTTCGGGCTGGTTCCCGAGCCCGGCGTCATCGATGTGATTTAGACCCACTATGCCCGGACGACCCCTCCCAGCTTGCCGCTCGCATGGGCGAATCAACCGAGCGTCTGTCTGGATCCTGCGGTCCCAATCTTTGCCGCATTGCTGGTCAGAGCCGCTCGAATGCCATCGCCCGGTTGGCTTCTATCTCAGGGTCTTCAACCACCTGAGCGTGTGTTTCCGACCGAACATGTGGAGCCTGCCGTGGTTCCTCCATGACCTCAGCCCCCTGCGACCCCAACCTCGAACGAGCCGAGCGCCTAGCCCGGGGAGCGGGCTGAAGCTCCGGCTCGGTCGGCATGGTCGGGTAGATCGGGGGAGCGGAAGCTGGAGCAGTGTACGCAGGCATAAATTGCGGTTAACCGGTTGGTGGTGGATAATACATCGGTGTCCCAAGCCAACACCCATATTGAGGAAGTGGAACTGGATATGGATTCCGAGAAATTGATATTGTGGTCCAGGCGGTGGATATGTCGACTGAATATAATTGACCGGGTTCGGGCCCGCTGATCGTGTTGGTGATAGGTTGAGGTTTAGGTCAACTGTCTGAGTACGTTGGTGGTCGGATGAACTTGCTGCATCCGCTTGCTCATCCTCGGGTGCTTGGTACATGAACGGAAACATGGTGATAAGAAGGATCTAGTACTCGTCTACAATAGCTTTCGTACCCGGTCCCCACGGACAGCGCCAAAATGATAGTACTAATTCCACGTATTAAGCGGTCTAAGTACTTAAACGAGATCAAGTAATAACAAATAAAGGTATTTTATTGATCAAGAAGGACCTAATACAATCTAAATGATTATCCCGAGGGCCGACTGACTGCGTTCAGGCAGCTTTGTAGATAATCTATCGATCGTCCAAAAGTCCCTCTCACTGTAGCCGCCGCGGGTATTTATAGCCGCTAGGCCGGAGACACATCTTCGGCCGGCCGGCATGTAACCCACGTAGCCTCCACACGTCTTCACCCGGCGAGCCCTCTCTGTCAACGTGTAACACTGCCACGTGCCTCTTCTCAAGATCCTTGACTCCTCGTAAGATAAGGCCCACCGAACGGGTGATAAAACCCTAGTCGGGAAGTCCGCCGGTCGGGTCCAACTGTCACTCCTTATGTCCAACCTGTAAAACCTGCACAAAGAACGAGAGAAGCCGAGTTGTGTCGGTCAGGATATATCCTACCAAACACAATGCACACACGTAGTGCACTGCAAACACAATGCACACACGTAGTACACTGGAAACACAATGCACACATGTTGTGCATCACATCCTGGTTGACTTTTTTCGTGCACCATGTTTTGGGTTGTTGAATGATGCAACATCAAGAGTGTGCACATGTTCTCAAGTTCACACAATAAGGTAGATTTTCACACACACACACACACACACACACACACACACACACACACACACACACACACACACACACATATATATATATATATATATATATATATATATAATCAAAAGAGTAAATAATTAATTTACAAAACACTTTTCTATAACCAACTAATACTATCAGCGAGTCAATACAACTAATACAATCAACTATCAGCTAATTGTCAAACACTTCCTACAAATAATGATTCCAATTAGGATTTTGATTTTGGTTTAGTAATCATATGATTGAATCATTCAATTGAGCCAACTGATAACTTGGGGGTGTGATTGAGTGGAAGTGATTCATCCATCCTTAATCAAAGGTCAATGGTTCAATTCTAAACTTTGAGTATGGAATAACCTTAAATTTCCATGTCAATTGTTGCATCTGTATCCGATGGTAGAAACCTAATTACACCCAAAAAAAAAATAGCCAACTGATTGCCTTTTGTGAATTTCTGATCCGTGTTTTCAGTGGGTCGGTATACGCGCACGGCGCACCCCAACGCTACTGAGCGGTCATTATATTGATTTGATTTAACTGAATTTTATTAAATTTGATTTATATACTTCTAATCTAAAATTGATAAAAATTAACAATACCCCAAACCCCAATGTATAAGTAAATTAATTAAAGTTCAAATTGATTAACTAAAAATTAACCTCAATACTAACTGCCAACTTTCAAATTTAACCATTCACAATCTTTTTGTTAATTTAAATAAGGACAAGGTCAAGAACAAGAATGATTAAAAATTTAAAAGTTAAAAAAACCATAAGTAATTAACTTGAGAGTTAAATGACCATAGATAGTTAAATTTAAAAATTAAAAATTTAGGACTAAACGTTAACAGTGTCACTATACTAGCTTGAAAGATCCTAATTGGTATTAACTCCCTGTAATTTGACCCCATCACATTTACATTTCAGAAGGTAAACAAAGTTGTGATTTATAAGAAATGGCAAAAAAATCTAAGTTGGTTGTTGTATAATTAGGAAATACACCTGATACATGAAAAACTCTACCTCTTAAAGAAACCAATTAATACACAAGAACAATTGCATATGGCTGGATGCAAGCCTACATATAATTTTAATTAATACAATAAAGACAGACAAACAGATTCTGCACTCAAATCTTGGACCAGGGATGGAATTCCCCCCCTCCCTCCCTCCCTCCCAATCACGAACTTTTGTCAACAGATTCTGCACTCAAATCTTGCTTGCTTTTACATCTTCTCATCTTTGCTTTGACACGAGATTTTGTCACAAGTGTCTGCACCGTGTTAGCGAAATTCCCAACTGCCATGACTATCAAAAGGATTCCACAGGTAACAACCTGCCATAAGAGCATTATAATTAATTATAGAAACGCACTATGGATAATAAAAGCTAAAGCTAGTTATGAATATTCAAGTATCAGGCTCATATCTATTCAGAAAAGAAAACCAAATTATAAAATAAAATAAAAATTGCAGGCCGCATTTGTTTACCTGCCACTCAGAGACAACACCCACAACAGCAGTTTTAAGTAACAACAACCCAACATATGCTTCAAAACCCTGAAACCAAGAAATAATATTTTGTTATTTACTTCTTTAGTTGTGGCGCTCTTGTGGCTCCTACAGTAAAACAACTGTGTAGCCTCATTTTCGTGCATTGTGTATTTTGGTATCAAACATGCCACGCATAAATATGGCCTAGTACCAAAAATGGAATATATATATATATGCTGCTAGAGGTTACCATTCTGCCATCTAGTGGAACCTACAATAACCAACAACCATGGTGGCGGATGAACTTATCTGATTAAGTTATAACCCCATAGGCTATTTATGCAAACTGGTCCTTCCCAGTGCTCCCGTTACAGAAAACACTACACTATCTAATTGCACAAGAGTCAATGGTAGACAAAACTCTCTGCAGTTCTTCAGGCAACACAACAATGGAGAAATCAACAATGGCAGGAGGTATACTTGATCGCTATGAGGTTAGACTTTATTGTGCTTAACATGTATAAGTATAACACATGTATTCATATCATGTTTAAGTCTAACAGGCCAATGACATATTCATCCAATATCATCAGTACAGCATCACATAAACCCCAAAATGAAAGATAAACAAACAAATAAATAAAACACTTCCAGAAAGATCATTTGTGATTTCTAAATTTCAATACATCAAAATACAGACAAATTACCTGCAAGATGAACAGTATAGGGAATAAAAGCAACAATTGGCCCTCAACACCAGAAGTTTCTCCCCAGACAACATCCATTCTCCTGGCCTGAAATTGAAAGTGGATTCAATATATATATATATATATATATATATATATATATATATACACACATATACATATATGACCAGACTTGAGAACTGCTATGAAATTGGCAAACTAATAGTTCTAGTGTCAGTATATTACTAACGAAGTACATAAAAATATTCAAACAACTAACCTTATCTGGGCAAAACAAAGTCAAAAGGGACATTTAAATAAAGATCTAAAGAAGCTCGACTATAATTGCTTAACAAATACAAAAGATCTTCTGGGAATGCATACTGCACCTTGCCGAGAGCAATACGTGTGTATAGTCTTTGCCTTTGGTATCTATTTTGGAGAATCATTGCAACACCTTGCATAACTGCCCATTTCAGGAATAGATGCACTCCTTTCTGCAGTAAAGAGTCACTTTTAGTGTGTGTGTGTGTGTGTGTGAGAGAGAGAGAGAGAGAGATCCAGAAGACAACCAGAAATAACACTCTTAAAGTTCTTTCTTATAAAGTCAGCACAAGCATGAAAATGAAGGGAGATATATGTTAAAAATATCAAAACCTGCTTTAAGGCACAGTTAGGTTCCCTTTCTATTTCCCAGGTAAGACTAATAATTGCCATAGCCATAGCACAATAATGATGCTTTATCCACCTGCAAAAGCACAGGCAAAATGACATTTCAAAATGTTGCTGCTTACAATATGCTATACTAATAATGCATTAATATACATGAATCCATGTACACACACACATCTATACAAAGTGCTATAAGAATCAGTAGATGGTACACAACTCTTCAAAATAAATTAGTATTACAAGTAACCAGCAAGGCAGCCAAATTCTTTAAAATATTTTTCCATTTCAGTTAGCCTTACAAGGAATGAGACAATTTGGAATCAATATCGAAGAGAACTGCACCAATAATCACATAACTGGTCTTTTCAACAGCAAAAATCTCACTGTCCAACACTTTTTCAGGGAAAATACATATAGAAGAATCAACTGAAGATACAAAAGACTTGGATATTAGGAGATAATTCCACAATCTAGAGTCTAGACTCTAGAGGTCACCAAATATTTCTTATCTCAATAGCATTGCTTTAGTACCAACTGTATCAGTTCTTTTGATTTATAAGGGAGGAGAAAGCACAGGAAAAATTGGAGAATTCTAAAGATTCCTGGAAAAATAAATAACAAAACTTTCTATTAAAAATCAACTATTTTTCAAATTAGAAAACAAGAAATGGAAAATAACTTGAACTTTATAAAGGAATTTAGGA